TTACTTCTCAGCAAGGGAGTATAATTAAAAATGAATATGAAAAATTAAATTTTTTCCGAAAATTTCTACATGCATTTGGTAACGTTATTTAAATGTTTAGATAATTCTGCATAATTTTGGTCCAAGGCTCAGTGGCGTATCAATCTTCATAATCGATTTTAGTAAATTAAAGCCTGTTTGGAAGTACTTATAACAGAATTGCAAGAGTATGTAATTTTATTTCGAGGACTTAAATCATCCGGTGTAACTATGACGTCATAATCTAAAAATGGATTAAATTTGCAAGAAAAACGTAAAAATAAACGTTCTTTCAACCGGTAAGTTTTCCTGGAAGAATTATCTGACTTTTTAAAACAACAAATATACCTTTATACCTATTTATGTAAATAAAAATTGATCTTACCTTTTAAGGTCTAATATCCTCTTGAATCTTATCTTCGGATGTTTGTTATACACGTTTAAAATGTTCTTACGCTTCTTTTACTTCTTATAATTGATCTTTCAATATAACTTACCAACCTGTCAAATACTTGTGGTTTTTACTTTCGTGGATATTTAAATAAAATAACAATATTAAATATTCAAATTTATTTTTTTAATATTCTACAGTCCATTAATATATACACAACAATTATTTTCAACATAAATAAGACGTGAATAAAAATCTAAGTAACCAATAATTGACATTAAGGATTACATCTTACATTATAATACAATTTAATTTACAATCTATAATCATACAGCCAGCAGTACAAATCTAGTATTTGAATAAAAATGTGTGGTACATTTTTTTCTATGTTATACCTTGTATCTAAGTAAGATGTGCAATAGTTTTTAAATGTTTTTTTAAATACTGAAATATTTTTTTGTCGAAAATGTTTATAAAACTAATTTTTTCTTTCTGGGCATTGCACTATTCGTGACGTGCCCATAGGCGGGTAATGAAGAATGTTAAATTGTTCAACAATTGTAATACTCTTTAATTGAGGGTAACCACAAAAAAATAGCCCTTAATTGAGTCTGCTATTTTTTGTAATTAAACTTATTTTTGAGAATAATAACACATCTATAATAAAATATTATAAAATAATTAAAAGCAAAAATCGGATATGTAATAAATTAAAAGTGAAGTGAAGTGAATTTCATAACCAATTTTGTTTTTGTCATGATATTTTTCAACATGCACCGGTAAACCCAAAGGCATCGATATGGTGGGGTTGACGGGGTAACTACCCCCAAAAAAATGAGCATGACTGGTGCAGAGATTGCTAGAATCAATGCAAAACAAAAAAAATTGTAGATGCAATGTAGATGCAAAATACTTTTTTGTATTTAAATCGTCTTATTTTGAAATTTAGAGCTTCTTTTAAACGCGATATATGAAAAATATTGTTTGCTACCTAATTGATTCAAATACTTGATAAAAATATAAATGTATTGAAAATTTGGTCAAACTACAAACTTTTTATTTTTAAACATTTGTATTTACGTGTTTCTAAAAAACAGAAAACAAAGATATCGAAATATTTTTGTTTCGTGTATTTTGTTTTTTTTTTTAATTACCCCTTTAAGAAACACATGTATCGACGTCCTTGGGTATTCTAGTTAAACTAGTCAAGGTCCAAAAGCTTCAAATACCAGTTTTTACTACTGGGAAAGGAACATTGTACATTCTCTACACAGAGAGAATTCAATTATAAAACACCGACTATATTATTTACATTAATACTGTTCATGTATAAAACATAATTAGACATGCACACAATTCGAATATCACTACAAGAACTCCTCCCAATAAATTAATTTAATTGAAGGTACTTATTTACAGGGATACAATTTTTTACAATTATATTTACCGTCTCACGCGACTCTTTGGTTACTATTTTTCGATGAGGGGTTCGTACCATTTGCGGTTAGAATATTTGTGGTAAAATTAAAGAATATAATTTTTCAAAATACATTTGCCTAAAAAATACTCTCTTTCTTATAACAGTTATAGATATAGCTGAAGAAAATAAAAAAATAATATTTTAAATCTCACAATGATATGAAATTAATATTGTGAAAGGTTTCGAAGAAAAAGCAACATGTAGTAAATTGTCTTAAAAAAAAAATATGAAAAAATTATTGTATGGAAAACTTTAACAACAACTAATGATATAAATCATTTATTTATAAAAAAAATGTAACATTGCAGGTGTAAATTTGTTAAAAAAATTAAATTTAGATGATAGTGAACTTGTTAAAATGTTAAAAAAACGTACGCTATCGAATAAAAAAAACAACGATATTCCCTTTACACTGGGGAAACAGACGAGTACAATATTGAGTAATAATAAGAAAGTCATGCAGAACATTTTTGATGTAAAATATACATAAAAGTATTATGGTGAAAACCTTAAATAAAATTAAATATTTTCATGAGTAAAAATTTGAGTAAAATTAATATTATTATACAGGGTGTTTCATAATATATGCGCAGGACTTCAGGACGTGATAGCTCGTCCAAAAATATGTTTTGAAAATCGTCAAAAGCGGAGAGACCAAAAAAAAAAAGAAAAAATACACACCTCGCAAAAAACTGAAAACGTCGGATATATCTGGTGGGAAAAAATTTCGTATTCGTGATATGGTGTATGAAATGCGTGTGAAAAAGGAACATGTCAACTTAAACACATTGCTGGCTGGCTAACTTAAGTTGCTTAAGGAAATAGGTTTTAAATTTAAGAAAGAAGATATTAGAAAAGCTTTATGTGAAAAAATAATGTTGTTCACAAAAGAATAGATTTTTTAAGAGAATACACTCGTTTAAAAGAGAATGGAGCTTCGTTTATGTATTTGGATGAAACCTGGATATTTTCCAAAGGTGAGACGAAAAGAATATGGCAAGATGAAAATATCAAATCAATAAAACATACTAATGGTGAGGGAAAGCGACACATAATCTTGCACGCAGGTGGAAAGAATAGATTTGTGGATTGTGCAGGATTAATATTTTCCTCTAAATCAAAATCAGAAGACTACCACGGTAACATGAACTCGGATATGTTTATCAAATGGTTAAATGAAAAACTATTACCAAATTTAAGTGAACCGTCTAATATAGTGTTAGATAATGCGAGCTATCACACAGAACTTTTAAACAAACCGCCAAGACAGAATTGGACTGTAGCCAAAATACAAGAATGGTTACGTAACGAAAATGTTGCATTTCCACAATACGCCCTTAAATCTGAGTTGTTAACTTTAGCCAAATGGCATGAACCACCACAATTTTATATGGTAGATCAAGTCATACATAGTTATGGACATGATTTGTTACGGCTTCCTCCGTACCATTGTCAGTTTAACCCACTGATCTGTATTATTTTACTGGATAGGATATAGGCTATATTTAACATACTAAAAAATCGTTCCACCAAGGAGACCGGAAGTGCAACAATGCTGGCCGATTTGGGCAAATTATGGTGGGTTCACAGAACTGAAATTTGGGATAATTTGACGTACCTAACCTATAATTTGATTAGTTTTTCTTCTTATTCTTCTTCTATTACTTTTGCGGGCGATGTCCTTCGGGAAATTTCACCCATGATTTGATTTTTTATGAAAGAAAATATAAAAATGGAAACGTGAAGCATATTGTGTCTTCAGGAATGAACGTTTATTGTTTATTTCATACTCTTTTTACTTTGTTTTCCACAATAAAAACATCTCATCGTAGCTTGTTGACACAATTTAATGACAAATGTGATGACAAATGGAAATAGAGGTTACGTTAAATAACATCCGGTCCGCCATATTATTTGCCCAAATCGGCCAATTTTTCGGAACGTTTTTTAGGGGGCTATATCCTATCCAGTAAAATAATGCAGATCAGTGGTTTAACCCCATCGAACACATTTGGTGTATACGTAAAACGTATTATGACAATCATATTGAAATTAATGGTTACAGCGACGAAGCAGTAAGGGAAATATGGAAACAAGCACTGGATACATCAACTCCAAAAATTTGTCAAAAAAGTGTTCAAAAATGTGATAAATTATTTGACGATTGGTGGACACGTGAAAACAGGATAAACGAAATTAACCCTATAATTATATCCCTTAATGATGACAGCGACGCTATAGTGACACAAATTTTAAGAGTGATGCTGAAGATTTATAGGTATGTCAAAAGACAATTATTTATAATAATCACTGTTTAATATAGAATTTTAAAAGTTATGTTATTTTTAATCATCGTACTTACTTAATCGCAGCGTAAAACTGTGTATGTAAATTAAAATTTTTGTTCTGAATAAACCAGTATTAAACAACAAAATCATGTAACTATCTCTTTTAAGCTTCCTGAGGCAAAATTAAATAACTAAAATTTATATTTATTTTGTTTCTATAAGAACCCCTTGCAATGTACAAAATAACGCCACCCATGAGTAAATGTTTAAAATACAACTGACCAGTCAAATCTTTCATTTATTTCTTAATCTGATATGGGTGTAAATTCAGTGAATGACCTATAAGTATAATTTTACTAAATTCGACAAACGTTTTTGATGTTATAAGATAGACCTATCAGTTAAATAAACTTTGCCTGTGGTGTAAAGCATCCATTCTAAATTTTACACCACTGTCCAAAACTTATTAAGACTAAAATTTTAATTGATAAATTAAACAATAGTAATTTTATAAATTTATAAAACAATCAAAATAACAATATTTAAAAACAAATTAAAATAAAGAGTATCCACCTTTTAGCATGAATATATCGAAAACCAATATTTTTCATAAATTTCCAGCAAGAATACATAATCCATTTAAAAAATATCCAAAAATGTAAAATAGGTTTTTGGACAAGGGCGTAAATTTTAGAAGGGAGTATCGTCTATTGTAATTATTATTTAGGTAATCGACATCTGCAAAATACCAAATATTTTGTCAATTCCTTCTTCCTCCATAACTATTTTTGTTTTTGTATTCAAAAAAATAAGACAAAATTTCGTTTTAATAACTATAAATGATTAATTATATTCTCTATATTTATACAAATAAAATATCGCAATTTGATACTCAACCCCAAGATAACTAAGAAGCCCTAACATCAATTACTAGATCTCGAAGGAGGACTCAATGAAGGCCCAAGCGGCCTAGATATCGACGCGTAGGGACTAAACCTGTGATGTATTGCCGAAGGAAACATCGCTTTAGGTAACCTCAAATCACTAGAGGTACTCATACTCATCGAAGTTGGAGAAGGGGAACCCGATGAACTTGGCGTTGATGCGGGCGGCGGAGTAATTTGATGCCTATGCGATCCAGGAGGTCCTAGGAAACCTGGTGGCAACCCGCTGTGTATAGGGCTTTGCCACGCGGCCCCACCACCTTGATTCCAGAGGTGGCTCGGGATACCGAGCGGTACGGTCTGTCTTTGGCTTAGGAACACTTGTTGATTTGGGGTACTGTTAAGGAGGAAAGCATGTAACTCACTGGGATTGTAAGCGCCACCTGCTCGACCCCACATCTGGAGTTGGGCTCTGGCTTTTTCAACCATAGCGGCTGAGAAGAAAGACGAAGCGTTGTTGTTTTCGTTATCTAGTGAATCACCTGAGTATAAACGCAGAGACGATCGCAGGAAGTGTTGGTCCATGAAGAGGCTGTCCATGGGTTCCCTGAAACAAAAAATATGCATGTAGGGAAGAAATTCTTTTTAATACAATAGGCATAAATTTATGATTTCAAATTTCAAAAAATAATCCTAAGCGATTGTTAAATCCAATTTGATTTAAAGTCGCATATAAAGGTACATATAAAGAAATTATATTCTGTAAAAAGTAAGGGTATAGAATTGACTTAATAATTTCTATAAGGTTAAATAAGGGAAATATGGATCCTTTCAATTTAAATTATACGGATTTTTCGTATATTTAGGATTGAATGTATGCTGTTTTTATTAAATTTGGTATTTAAAGTTACCATATTCAACCAACATTTTACGATTTCAATTCCAAAGTACGTCAATCTTACTTTTTGTGGAAACCTTAGTGAAAGGCAAAGGTTAAGCTCACCCCGCTTATAATTATCTGCGAACCTCATTTGCCAGGTATTGATATTATTTATAGATAGTGTCATCATAATCATTCTTAGCTTGTCACAATCGTTTTGTACACTAAAAATTTGCATCTTTATCACTTTTTATTTAAATATTCAAAGGTTTCTCAATGTTATTTAAATAACCCAATTAGTTCTTGAAAAAACACTTGTTAAAATGGTAAAATTATAAAATTGTAATAATAAAATTAATTAAATTGGTTATTGCATAAACTAAAATGGATCCTTTAAATATTGATTATGTTCCTTAAAAATAGTTCTTAATAAAATTGTTAAATAATAAAATTAAAATGGTAAAATGTTTAATAAAATTGTAAAAGCAGTTGTAAGATGAAAATTGTGAAACGAAAGACTAAAGAAAATAAGTTTAATATAATAATCAGCTCTAAAGCATCCACCTAGGTATATCTGAGTTTAAATATAATAAATTATAGAAGAGCCCACTGCAAATTTCTGATAACGAAATAAAATATGCTCTAAAGAAATGTAACAACATTTTACTTTACCAAACGGTACCTGTGCCAATTACTATTCTGAGCAAAGTGATTAAAAAAATATTTTATATTCAAAAATTTATTTTTATCTACCTCTTAAAGCATGTGGGTGTATGTGAAATGAAAAAGGAGGACATTGGATAAACCATTTACATAGACAATCAATAATAATTGCAGGGTTCAGAAGCCAATCAATGCAATCATAGTTGTGTTGTAGTTTTGTTATTAGATGTAATTTTCACGAATAGGATAGATTTAGTTTTAAATTTAGGAGTCATTGATCATCAATTATCAGATCATCTTGCTGTTTACTGCGACATTGACAGAATATTATTTGACAACCATGCTCCTTATGTAGAAGCCAAAATTACTAAACCGTATGCTCCTTGGTTGACACCTACAATTTCCGAGATGATGAAAACAAGAGATAAAGCACTTTCAAAATATAAAAGATCCCAAAATATATCAGACTTCATTCATTACAAAAAAATGCGATATATCGTTACTAGTGCAATTAGGAAAGAAAAATCAGCTTATTTAAATTATAGTGCAAGCATGCAAAGCAAAAAAGACCTTTGAAAAGCAATGAAATCCTTGAATATTTCAAATAAAACTACATTCCATATTCCTGATGGCTTAAGTGACCCTACTGATATAAACAAGTATTTTACGTCGGTATTCAGTCAGGGAAATTGTTGTCCTAACAGTACATCTTATTATAATTCAAATCTATTTAATCCTGGTATTAACTTCTCTTTTAAACTTGCAACAGTAAAGGAAATTAGGTCAATAATTTTGGAAATAAAGTCAAACCAATTAGGAGTTGATAACATCTCAGCATTTATAAACAATCAATAACAACATAGAGTTAAATGAGATGTTCAAATACTGACGTAGCGCTTCCCTCGCATTGCCATTTGCACGACCGTACATAAAATGCATGTCAGCTAATTCAATATTAGTGTAAACAGGCATAACGAAAATTTATAAAATTATTCACCCACAACAAAATAATAACTGCAAATAGTATCTATGAAAAAACATCGGTAGACTCCGATAAGAAAAGCAAGTTTTTGAGAATGAAAAAAGATAATCAAAAAATGATACAAAACACAAAACACTCCGTATCTCTGAAACCATTCATTTGCGGACATATGTTTATTAAGACTTTTCTGCATATTTTGGCCCATACTACCCCCATTTTATTTTGTGACACTTTTTTTTAACACCCTGTATACACAAAATATTAAACAAAAGATAAATACAAACTTTAAAACTCATTACTTATTAAATAGATACCTAGATACGCTACGTCCTTAACTTCAAGCAAAAAAATGTATGTTTAATAGTAGGTACCTACTGGTAAAGTTGAATAAGCGGCTGTGAAGAACAAAGAATGGTTCCATGAGACTACGACCTTTGTGTTTTGGTATTTCGTTTTTTTTTTTCGAATTTATTTAACAACCGAGTAGTTAACTTTTTCGAACCTTAATTGTTTTATGAACTCACCATAGTAATTTCATTTCATTATGTCAAAAACACCATTTTCTCCATCTGTGACGACCGAAAAACTGAAATTTTTTTATCAAAACAGTTGGTACCACAAAAACAGGAAAATAAAAAAATGCTATATCCCTAATGACAGTTTATAATTCGTTTCACACCGCAGCGGCGTGAAATAATTACAAGGTATTAGACAAACACAAATTTGGTCCTACCCAACACGTCTTCGCTCATGATCAATAGTGGTGTGAGGCGGCTTTTCGATTCTCAAAAGACCCCTCATCTACTGAATTGGGCCTATTACGAAGAATTGAATCGAGGCATACGAGTTTAGAGGTGGAACTGTTATTTTTACACATTTGTTCCATTACGATCTGTAGTTGGCCTTAGAAGTTTGTATATAAATAAGTAGGTACATAACAAACAGGCATTGGATGTTTTCATGGCAGTTAGTTTTTTAAATTAGAATAATATTATATTAAAAAATAGCGTAGAGTTTTTTGGTCGTTAAATTTAACCAATATTTGTATTGGAACGCACAAATTGACGTAGATAAAATCTAAGAAACTCTGTAGAAGTTCAGCTTCAAACTGTACACAAGAAACCTAGAAAAAAGGGAAATAGACAGCATCAGCTACATTGTTTCGAAACCTACAATTTTTTTATACCTATTATTGTAAATTAAAACAGTCTACATTGCATCTAATTGTATTTCTTGATAAACATATATAATTTTGTATCATATTCGACTGGTATTGTTCAAACGAAAACAAACAACAATTAAGCAATAAATGTGAAAAGATTTTGTCAATATAACTGGTCAAAACAACTGGAGAAATAGAAATAAACAATAAATTCCTGAACCCCTAATATAATTTTTTTAAGTCGGAATTTTTGTCCATAATAGGCCAGACGATATTAGATACTTAGATCAGTAGGATTAGAAACCTCAACATTAATATCAACCCTTAATTTCCTCTACATTAATTATTAAAATTACACCCTCATTTCCCCAAAGTGAAAACAAACTAAAGAAAATTTAAAAGGGCTGACAAAGAAACAAAAAATACCTGTAGGGAGGACGTCTTATGTCCCATGCAAAACAAGTGTATCAAAATGACAAAAAGAACCAAAAATATTCATAAGTGCATATTTATGACTGCAAATTCATAATAACTGTATAAAACCCGAAACAAGTTAGAAAAAGAGTATTTTGTACTATTATGCAGCAAATCAAATAAAGCAACTAGGACAGGTTAGTTCTAACATTAATTGAACTAATAACTAATACCTAAGCAGTTGCGACGTTGCCTATTACTTTAAACAGTTGCAGAAACTATAAATTCCTATTCAGTCTCACCCAAACGAAAATTTACTAATAAAAATATCCTCATCGTAATTTATGAAATCTGATAGGACATATATGTCCCCACAGGGTTAACACTAACAAATTTTTCTCTCAATAGGTCTGATCGGATTCTTCAAAAATACATTGAGAACTTTCAGAGGACTAGTTGACCAGTAGACAGTTTAATAGTTGTACGTGACGAATAATTTAGAAATTAACTGTTCCACTGGTCCTCGGACGGTTTGCATCAAATTTTAGAGAGATCCGAAAAAACCTAACGTATCTAATGGAGGCCCTACACGCTCCGATATGGCCTGCAGGCCAAAATTTACAGTTCTGATCTAAAGACAAAATTTAATCAGCTCATTTCACTCTTCATCTTCACAATAGACAAAAGAGAAGAGACTGTACAGTTCAAATCTCACAAAAACGTAGCGTGTAGGGCCTCCTTTAGAATTGGAAAATTAAAACTAATAATTAAATTTCAAAAGCATCTAATGACGGACCTGTTATGACAGGATTTTAACAGCAAAAAGTTAAAAAATTTGGTTATTATAATTCCGTACAGGCTTTACCTAAATATAAAATGCGACGACTGTATAAAATAAATGACAGAAGAAGAAATAATTAGATGAAAAAAAATATACAAAACAACAAACTAAACCACACTGCGTACAACAATGCTATACTAAACGGTTAAAAAGCTAAAAATTTCAGAACAGTTTCTTCCACCTCTATCCTACAAATCTAAGGTCGTAGAAGTGATCGGGCGTTGCGGCATTACACCGAAAACAATCAATAATATTGAGACGGGACCAAAGTTGCGCGCTGAGGTGATAATGAGAGGGAGATGCCCCGCCTCCAGATTACAAATTCAGTGGCGTCTTCTCTCCTATCTCCTCTATTATGCATCATACTCTAAATTGAGAAAATTTTAAAAATAATCTTCGTTATGTGTCAGATTCTAATAAATGGTCTTCGTAATTTTGTTCTTTTTCGCTTCTGGGAACATTTGAGCTAAATTAAAAATGAAACTTCTTGTTTTTTCCTCATCATTATGATTGTAAATGGAGTTTTAGGTTGTTTGGTAAATTTTTTTCTTAAAACAGGTAAACAATTTTAATATTTAAATTAATATTTGGATCGAGATAAATAAATCAAATTAAACTGCTGATATGAGGCCTGTGCTTTAACGATTCCTTTATTTTTAACCCCC